TGGACCCATCTTCTGATATTTATTTCTGAATTTTAGCTAACATTGTATCAATTTCAGCTAACATTGAATCTATTTCTATTGTCTGAGATGGTGAAAAAGCCTGCGTTTGGGGTTTTGGACTATCACTTGTCTCTGGTTCAGAGTCAGACTCCTCTGATTCTGTATCGCCTATAGCATAATTATCACTCGCATTAAGGCAATCTGATTCTTGTCTCATTGTGATTCTCAAAAGCAGTTTAAGATGTTGGGGAGTTAGTTTCTTACCACCATGAATTCTGGAAGTGTGTTTACTTCCATAATCTCTTAATTTTTTAGATATAGTTCTATAAGGTTCTTGTTTTAAGAATTTGTTAAATAGCCAGGCATTATGTGTTTCATTTTCTGTAAAGACAGGATCATGCAACTTTTTTGCCTTGATTGCATTTTGGATCCAGGTGAGTAATTCTCTGGCGTGTTTCGGGCTCTTCTCCATAGAAAGAAATGGTCAGGGCTTGGGGTTTTTTTTTTCTCTTCTCTAATTTTTAAATAGCCTGTATAGTACCAAGAATAACTTTCTTTATACCATACTGAAGCATTCAAAGAATCTGGTTCATAGTGAATAATTTGAAGAGATCTTACTTCTGCAGGTCTTATACTTAACATCACAATTATATCTGCGAGATCTTCTTTAGATAGAATTTAAAAACATCCATATTCTGAATCCTTTTAAGCACTCTTGCTGATAAGAAGTGTATTGGAATTCTATCCAGATTAGCTATTCGTTTTTTAGTTTGTTTTTTCTGAATTTTATTAGACTCTTGAATAAGTTTTGGATCTTTGGTATAGGTATTAATAATTTTAGGACTTACCCCATCTTCTGCTAATTTCACATGAAATTGCGACTGGTGTGAACCACTGGTGACTATTTCATTTTCATAATCATTTTTTGAGCCTAAATCTAAATGATGGGCAAAAATGTCTATAGCATCGCCGATTTTAGTGCAATATTTTGCCCTTTTCTCTATAGTGAGTTTTTTTTTTCTCTTATCTGGTAAGAGAGACTCTATCCGCTTTTCACTAAATGAGCATCTGTTATCAGTATCTCTGGCAAAAGCAACTTTAACACACCTGCGAGCCATCCAATCAGGAAATAATACATCGAGTTTGAGAGCATGTTCGTTTAATTGTTCTGGGGTAGAGTTGGCTGTCAGATTATGCTTTTTTAGGAACTGCTTTAAGACCAATACAAAGTTATTAACTTTAGGTTTTCGGGTTTTTGGGAAAGCTGTTTTAGTAGCCATGTCAATAGTAATTGTTATCTAGTTATATTAATCTAGTTATTTTTTAATTCAAAAAAAATAATTAATAGTTTAGGATTTTATTTTGCCTAATTGTAAAGAACTCTTTTATCCAAATACCTCACTTGTAAACCGGCTTCTTATTCCCTCTTTACTAAAGCATACCATTCTCCTAAAGTATGCTTATATTTTTTTGCCATTCTCTATCAGTATCAAGCCATAAGGATGTGATTCCTTTTTCTTCTAGTTCACACAGAATAATCTCTTCTCCTATTAATCTTTCTCATACTGTCATTTCCATATTTTTATTTGGGTCTTCTTCGCTCTCTTTTGCATAACCACACATTTGTGCATCTATTTCCATTTTATACCGAAATGCAGTGTAATCAAGCCTGTCTTTTTCTGTGATAGTTACGAATTTATCAGGGTCTTCACCGAGTTCGATTGCCTTTTTTCTGAGGCGCTCTTCATGCTGAGCTTTGGTTAAAAGTATAGCAGATGATATTTCATTGATAGGCTTGGAAGAATCAGTTTCTTTAGAAGGCGTATCAGGCACTACTTCACTTATAAGCTCAATAGGTTCGGGAAGCTTGCTAGTTTCGAGCTAGTCCTTTTGAGACCATTCAACAATTTTTGGCTCAGATAGGTTTTATTTCTTAGAAGTTTCGGAAGTCCCAGATATTGAAACAACTGGTGTTTCAGCTTCTTCTACCACATAGTCAAATAGAGCTTGGGTTAGATTTTTCTGTTTATCTCCTTTCTTATCACTAGGAGAGAGATTCTTTTCTGCCTGAGGTGGAATTATTTTTGGAGAAATAAATTCTAGTACATTAAATATGGGTATGTCTGTAGTCTCATTTTCAGGTAAGTCAGATTGAGGTGTTTTAGAAAATTCTTCGATATCGTCTAGGCCAGATTCATGGAGCTTAGCTACGATTTTGGGCGGTCAAGAATATACTGATATACTCTTACTCCATTATCTCGTGAACGTGCCCGATCAATACCGATTTGTGAAAACTTCTTTCTAGCAACCTTACTAGTTAATAGCTTTTCCATACCATTTAAGATAATCCTGGTATACTTTTTCACAGCTAAACCTGCTAATATGATTTTTAGGCCAAGATGCAATATAATCAATTATAAATCGAATGGGATTAAAAAGTTGCTCTCGCATTGTTTCTATCTTCATTTTAGTTGCAGGAATTTTTCCCAGACTCCAATTTGATAAATCACGGCTAACAAGGTATGACATGACTACTCTTGGTGTATCAGAATGGTCTAGAATTTCCCCTAGCCAGTCAAAATATGATATATTACCTCTACAGCATGCAGAGACATCAAAACAGAAATAGATTCAATGTTAGCTGAAATTGATACAATGTTAGCTAAAATTCAGAAATAAATATCAGAAGATGGGTCCA